TCGTGTTCTGTTTGTGCGAAGGGAGTTGTGAAGCACTGCCACGCTTACGGGAAAGGAAGGAGACTCTGCCTTTGGAAGGGAGGAATATCAAAGAATTTGTGGACATATTTAAAAATCATTGTGATGGGTATGTCTAACCTGTAAAACTTGACCCCCAAGCCGCCTTATAAATGCTATTTGGTGATCTTAATTTTGTTGGTAGGTTTGTAATGCAGTATCACCTAGGCACATACAGCTGTGGGAATTTGGGCTAATTTCTGAGCGGTTTTGTCAACTGTTGAATAGGGAAGACTTGTGGCAGCCCCACTCCCAGCCCCGGGGACACCTTGTCTCTTGAGTGTGCACAACGCGGTGGGTAGTCGCAGAATCTGGCTCATAGCAGCTGGGTGAAGACTGAAGGCAGTGAGAGAAGCCGGCACATGGCACAGCGTGGCTTCCCCACTGTGAACCGTTTGTGTTACTAATGGCTGCGCCCCGTGCCTGGGATCTGGCTGTCTCTGAGCTCTGTTCGTTTTGCAAAGACCTGTGGCTCCTCCGCTTTCCTCCTTTCCCCCAGCTTCTGGCCTTAAGAATAAAAAAGGGGAGTAAGAGTTCAATTAACTGCTCTTATACGCCCCTTGGAGATGGATGGTTCTGCCACTCAAGCACAATGGTTCTGTGGAAATTAGCGAGGACGTGGGAAGCTTTGACATGGCCACGGTGTGGCTCTGCCTGAATTTTCCATCTGCGTTTTGTTTTCTTCCTCCTTCTTTTGTGCTGGGGTTGCTGGTGTGGGGTTTGCTGGGCAGCACACCCTCCGTGGAGTTTCAGTGTCTGAAGGAAGGAAGGCCAAGCAGCTTGGATGTCACCTGCTGAGCCTGAAGAAGAACTTGAGTGAAAATAATCCCTCTCGCCTTTGTTCTTCTCAGTTTGCTTTTTGTTTGCCTGACAGATGTTCAGCCTGGTCCATAGGCACCGACTGGCTTCTCAAAGCCTCCTGAGTGAGTCTCGGCTTATTGATTTCTGCACATCCGTGTTTTTGTCATTGTTACTTATGATGCCTGAGATCCGCCAGCACCTCCGGCCTTCCCTTGGAACCCCTCACTCTCCCCTGGTACACCCCAAACACGGGGCCAACGCCAGGAAGCTTGCAAAGCATAACTGCAGAGAGTTTGGGATCTTTCCTCATGACTTTAGCATGTGCTATAGTACTAATGAGGCCACATGTTCCTATTTCTGGTGTAGAAGATATTACCATTCTTCCAGAGGAGCCTTCTTTCTCTGTGGTCCTTCTTACTCTTTCTGGTGTGCTCAGATGTTTGCATTAATAAAAATTTGGTGTAAAGTCTGAAGCCAGAGTGGAAAAGAAAACCTGGAATTAAGAGTCTAGGTTCTTGCTTCGTTCAGTCTATTTAGCAAAACCCCCCCAATCTGTGTCTCTTGCTTTGTTCAGTCTATTTAACAAACCCCCCAGTCTGTGTCGTCTTGTAACTTCTAAGAATTTGCATCTTAAGCAAACAGAATTAGGAACTCAGAGTACTGTATTATCTTAGGTTGAGATTAAAATTATACTGATACCATGTCAATACTGATATCCATCCTGTGAGCTAGGGCAGAGACCTAGAAACATGACCCAGAAAATACAAGTTTATTCTAGAAAGCTTAGAAAATACAAATAAGTAAAAAGAAAAAGCAATATACAAACCAAGACAACCACTGTTAACCTTTTCTTCAACGTTCTTTTTGACCTTTTCTACACACTCCCCATCACTCTGTCTCACGCATCCACCACAACCATGCTGCCACAAGCCACTAGCGTCTCTTGCAGAATTTATCTGGAAACTCTCTTTCCATTTGTGTATAAATCAATCTCATTGGCTACCAGAGCTCTTTCTTGGAGGAATAAAAGCAAATGCCTGGGCACTGAGGAGTGGATTGGTAGGTGAAAATAGTGGGTTTTGATGATACATCTAAAATTTTGATTGTATGTTTAAAATATGTTTAGAAAACCACATTGGAATCATGCTCTGCATATCAGTCCAGACTCCTTTAATCCCAAAAGACAGGAAACTCAATTCGTCTGGACCCAAGCAGTAATAGAATGCATAGGCTTACCAAACTGAAACTCCAGAGCAGGGTTACCTTCGGGGAGACGTGAATAAGTGGTTTGAATGAGTTGGTTTCTCTTTCTCTTCACTCTGCTCTCTGAGCTGGCAGATCCACTGTCTGCATCTCCACCAAATGTGGCAGCAAAGTGACCTGTCATCATTCTGTGCCACTCGGGGCAAGAGAGACGATCTTACTGAGTGGCTTCTTAAGAAGAAAAATAACATTTTATTTTTTACAGAAGCCTCAGGAAACTCTCTTACAATCTTATTTTTCATAATTGGGTGCCATGGCCACAGATGTGGCCAGTTGGAGGGGATGTGCTGACTGGCTTATGCCAGGGGACACTCCTGAGGAGGCAACCCCTCGGCCACGTGGTGAGGATGGAAAGAGGTGGTTCTTAGAAACAAGTTTGGGTGCTGTTCCTAGAAAAAAGGAATGAACTTGGGATAGAAAACTTTTGTTGCGAGCTTTTTTTCTTTACTTAATAATGCTGGCTGGGCACGGTGGCTCATGCCTGTAATCCCAGCACTTTGGGAGGCCGCGACGGGTGGATCACGAGGTCAAGAGATAGAGACCATTCTGGCCAACACTGTGAAACCCCGTCTCTACTAAAAATACAAAAATTAGCTGGATGTGGTGGCGGATGCCTGTAGCCCCAGCTACTCGGGAGGCTGAGGCATGAGAATTGCTGGAGCCCAGGAGGCAGAGGTTGCAGCGAGCCGAGATGATGGCACTATTGCACTCCAGCCTGGGCTACAGAGCAAGACCCTGACTCAAAAATAAAAAAAGAAAGAATAAAGAAAGTATTACATCATGAACAACTTTGAGCACAAGCACATTGTTAGAGTTTTGTTTATTTATTTATTTATTTTTATTCATTTATTTTTGAGACAGGGTCTCACTCTGTTGCCCAGGCTGGAGTGCTGTGGCTCAATCCTGGCTCATTGCAGCCTCGACCTCCCAGGTCCAAGTGATTTTTCCCACCTCAGCCTTCCGAGTAACTGGAGTAGCTGGGACTACAGGTGCATGCCACTATGCCTGGCAATTTTTTTTATTTTTTGTAGATCAGGGCTTCACCATGTTGCCCAGGCTGATCTTAAACTCTTGGGTTCAAGGGATCCACTTGTTTCAGCCTTCCAAAGACTGGGATTACAGACCCGAGCCACCCAGAGTTTTATTTTTAATGGATGCATGGCTCAAAATATTTCCAAAGGTATGTAATCTGTCCTGTTTGTGTGTGTGTGTGTGTGTGTGTGTGTGTGTGTATATATATATATTTTTTTTTTTCTTTCTTTCTTGAGACAGAGTTTCTCTATTGTTGCCCAGGCTGGAGTGCAATGGCATGATCTCGGCTCACTGCAACCTCCCCATCCCAGGTTCAAACGATTCTCTTGTCTCAGCCTCCTAAGTAGCTGGGATTACAGGTGCCCGCCACTATTCCCAGCTAATTTTTGGTATTTTTACTAGAGATGGGGTTTCACCATGTTGGCCAGGCTGATCTCGAACTCCTGACCTCAGGTGATCCACTCATCTCGGCCTCCCAAAGTGCTGGCATTATAGGCGTGAGCCACCGCACCCGGCCCCTATCCTATATTGTTATTTAAACTGTTCACACTTTATTGATACAGTATTAATATTATACAAAGCCTCTTCAAGCATATCTTTTTGTTCACTTGTTTGATAATTTCTTTAATTCGTTTGAACATTTTTATTCAGCACCTACCATGTGTTGGTCACTCTGCTCAGTACTGGGAGTTGTTTCGTGAGTGAAACAGATAAACATGCTCCTTCGTGGAGCTCATATTTTAACTGCAGTAAACAAATGCACAGCATGCGGGCAGGTGGTGAGTGCTGAGAGTGCAGGGAAGAGACATTGTAAATCTTTTCATCCTCTTCCTCCCCAGTTATTTTGCACATAACTCTGTAATGCACCTGTCCCACATTGAGAATATTGACCTCCCCTGTGAAAAGCACCTTGAAGGCAGGAAGGGATGATAGAGCTTCTACACTCACATTCTCTATGTGAATATTACTGCCAGGTGGTAGCTGATGTTCAGTAAGCACTCAGCAATGTAATTCCACTGCAGTCAGTACTGGGCTAAGAAGGCATGGACTGTTTGTCACGGTGGGTGCACAAGCATTCTCTTTTCACTGTGTCTGTAGACTGGAGGACCATGCTAACTGACTTTTAGCTCGCTGATTGAGGTTGCGACGTCAGGTATTTGTTAGGTAGGCTTACATTACTCAGGCCCTAAGATTCACAGTGTGAGATGGGATTTGTGTCAGTCGGGGTCCAGACAGGAAAGTGAAAACTGCACTGGTAATTCAAACAGAGGGAGTCGAACCTGATGAATTGGTTATGTAGGTGCTGGAAGGCTGGAAGGGCAAAATGGGAGGTGAAACAACCCAGAGATTAGGAGCTAAAGCAGCTGCCACTCCATGGCTGGGGGTGGTGGTGCAAAAAAAGAGAGGGAAGGTTACCAGAACCTACGGCAAGCAGTGCTCAGAGCAGCGTTCCTTGCCACTGGTGCTCAGCATGAAGTGGGTGGGACTCGACTGGGGCTGGAGCCAACCGACAGAAACAGGAAAACAGGAGGAAGCAGCTCCTCTCTTTCCATCTTTCAAACTCCTAGGAGCTCCCATTGGCAGAACCTAATAAGAAGTCTGCTATCAAGGGAAAAGCAAGTGCAGTTTGCAGAGTGCTGTGGTTTGAGTGTTTGGCTCCTCCAAAACTTGTGCTAAAATTGGGCTGCCAGTGTGACAGTATTAAGAGGTGGAAAGTTTGAGGGTGATTAGGCCAAGAGGACTCTGACCTCATGGGCGGAATTAATGTTGTCGTGAAAGGGTAGGTTTGACACCTCTTGTCTGTGCCCTGCCTCCCTTCTCAGCCTGTCTGCCTTCTGTCATTAAAGGGCACAGCAACGGGACCCTCGCCAAATGCTGTTCCCTTGATCTTGGACTCCCCGGCCTCTGTAATGGTAAGAAAAAGATTTCTGTTCATTGTAAATTTCCCAGTCTCAGATATTCTGTTACAGCAACACAAACTAGACTGAGAAATGTAGTGTTAGCCCCAGCATTACAGAACAGAATATAGACAATGAGTCGAGAGACTAAGGTAAACAGTAGGCACGTCCTCCTACTTGCTTCCATTGATTCCCTTTACCCATGTTTGAACTGCCACACAAAACACCTTCATGCTTGTTCCCAATAAGATGCAGCCATAATTTGTACCAATTACATTGCTCTCATCCAGAAACGTGAGGTGAAAGTTCCATTAGTTGCTGTGTCCATCTCAGTGTGATGTAAAGTCCCTGTCGAGTCCAAGCAAACTCCCACCCAAATGTTCTAAATCTAAAAACTAAATTGTACAGTTAACCACCATCAATGATTATTACGTAAAAGAATAGGAGAAAAGAGTAGAGGAAAATAATATATACAAACATACACATAACCAAAAGGAAGAAAATTCAAAGCTGCTCTGGCCTTATTTGTCCTGTAACTTATCTCTAGGCCTCAGTTGACCTCAATCGTGTTCTTTTTAAAGAGGAATTTAGTAATTTACAGAATGTGTGCATCATAGTGTATTGTATATCTACGAAAACACTGACATCCAGGGACATCCATTGGGTATTACTGAATGAGAAAGGCAATATTTGGAAAAGTGATAGAATTATTACACCCTTGTTAAGCAGTGACCCAAAGGCCAAACATGTCTCTGTACCTATATTTGTATTTGATTATATGTGCATTAAAAACATTGAAAGGTGGCCAGGCAGAGTGGCTCACGCCTGTAATCCCAACACTTTGGGAGGGCGAGGCAGGTGGATCACTTGAGGTCAGGAGATCGAGACCAGCCTGAACAACATGATGAAACCCCGCCTCTACTAAAAATGGAAAAACTAGCTGGGCGTGGGGGCACGTGCCTGTAATCCCAGCTACTCTGGAGGCTGAGGCAGGAGAATCTCTTGATTCTTCCCAGAAGGCGGAAATTGCAGTGAGCCAAGATCACACCACTGCACTCCAGCCTGGGTGACAGAGCGAGACTGTGCCAAAAAAGAAAAAATTATATATATATATGTGTGTATATATATGTATGTATAAAGGTATACAGCAATTTGATAGAGCAGGTCTACTGGTGATAAGTTCTTTCAACCTCCATATGTTTTAAAAATGTCTTTCCTTTGTTTTTGAAAGATATTTTTGCTAGGCATGGAATTCTAGTTTGACAACATTGTTCTGTTGGTACTTGAAAATTGTTGATCCACTGCCTTCTGTCTTGCATTATTTCTGACAAGGAGTTGGCTGTCCTTCTAATCTGTTCCTTTGCACATTATGTGTGTTTCTTGATTGCTTTTTGTGTTTTCTTTTTAATCATTGGTTTTAAGTAATTTATAATGTACCATGGTTTATTTTGTTTGTTTCTTGTGCTTGAGTTGAGTTTTTTAAATCCATGGCCTACAGTTTGCATCAGATTTGAGAGTTTTTCTACAGCCCACTGACGTATTATTCATTACTTTAAATTAATAGGCTTTTTTTTTTTTTTTTTGAGACTGAGTGTCTTGCTCTGTTGCCCAGGCTGGAGTACAGTGGCGCAATCTTGGCTCACTGCAACCTCTGCCTCCCGGCGTCAAGCAATTCTCCAGCCTCAGCCTCCTGAGTAGCTGGGACTACAGGTATGCCCCAACATGCACAGTTAATTTTTTGTATTTTTAATAGAGACGGGGTTTCCCTATATTGGCCAGGCTGGTCTCGAACTCCTGACCTCAGGTGATTCCCCTGCCTCAGCTTCCCAAAGTGCTGGGATTCCAGATGTGAGCCACCATGCCTGTCTAATAGACTATGTTTAATGAACAATTTTAGATTTATAGAAAAATTGAACTATATGCAGAAACTTCTCACATGGCACCACTCCCCTCTCAGCACACACATTTTCTCTTATTGTTCACCTTTTGCATTAGTGTGGTACATTTGTTCCAGTTAGTAAACCATACTGATACATTATTATTATTAACTAGTCTCCATGCTTTACAGTAGGGTTCACTCTTGGTGTTGCAAAGTTTTATGGATTTGGAGGAATATCATCTATCTATCATGACAGTGCCATATGGAAAAGCTTCACTGCCCTAAAACCCTCCTGTGTTCTGCCCAGTTTTTCCCTTCTCCCAGTCTTCCATATGGAATCGCTTCAGGTCCTAAAACCCTCCTGTGCTCTGCCCAGGTTTTCCCTCCTTCTCACAACCTCCAGAAACCACTGCTCTTTTTATTGTCTCCGTAGTTTTGTCCTTTCCAGATTGTCATGTGGTTGGAATCATAAAGGATGTCGTCTTTTCAGACCGGCTTCTTTTACCTCGTGACACGAGTTTTAGGTTCTGCCATGTATTCATGGCTTCATAGCTCGTTTCTTCTTACAACTGAATAATAATTTACTGTCTTATATACCACAGTTTGTCACCACACTAGCCTACTGAAGGACGGTGTTTGGTGATTATGAATAAAGCTGCTAAACATTTGTATGCAGGTTTTTGTGTGGACGTATTTTCCACTCTTTTGAGTAAATACCCAGGAGCGTGATTGCCAGATTGCATGTGAAGACAGCATTGAGTTTTGTGAGACAGACCATCTTTCCAAGTGGCCGCGCCGTTTGCATTCCCACCAGCAGTGAATGAGAGCTCCTCTTTCTACACGTCCTCACCAGTGTTTGGCGTCACTTTAAAAGATTGTGGCCATTCTAATAGGTATGTCCTGGTATTTCACTGGTTTAATTTGCAAGTCCCTGATGGCATCTGCTCTTGAGCGGCTTTATTTGTTTTGGGTTTTTTGTTTTGGCTTTTTTTTGTATTTTGGAGACAGGGTCTCGGTCGCACAGGTGTCAGTTCAGTGATGTAATCATGGCTCACTGAAGCCTCAGATTCTGGGAGCATCTTTTATATACTTACCTGCCATCTGTGTATCCTCTTTAGTGAAGGGTCTGTTCAAATATTTTCCCCATTTTTAACAAGGTTACTTTTTAATTGTTGAGTTTGAATTATGTACTCAACATAATATGTACATTATATACAAGCCCTTTGCCATAATATGTTTTGCAAATATTTTCTCCCGGTCCATTGCCTGTCTTTTAATTCTCTTGACAATGTCTTTCACAAAACAGAAGCTTCTAATTTTAGTGAAGTCCAACTTAACAACATTTCTTTTCATGCATCATTATTATGGTGTATTTACAACTCATTGCCAAGCCTAAGGTCTCGGTATTTTCCCCTATATTATCTTCTAGAAACTGTGTTTCATGTGTGTGTTTTTTTGTTTTGTTTTGTTTTGTTTTGACGGAGTCTCACTCTGTCGCCCAGGCTGGAGTGCAGTTGTGTGATCTTGGCTCACTGCAACCTCTGCCTCCCAGTTTCAAGCGATTCTCCTGCCTCAGCCTCCCTAGTAGCTGGGACTACAGGCGCCTGCCACCACTCCCAGCTAATTTTTTTTTTTTTTTGTATTTTAATAGAGATGGGGTTTCACCATATTGTCCATGCTCCTCTCGAACTCCTGAGCTTAGGAAATCCGCCCTCCTCGGCCTCTCAGAGTGCTGGGGTTACAGGTATGAGCCACTACACCCAGCCTTTGTTTTATGTTTAGGTCTATAATCTATTTTAATTTTGTGAAAGGTACAAGGTCTGTATCTAGATTCTTTTTTTTTTTTGCATAATAATTTCCTTTTCCTCCTTTTTTTCCCCTGGATTCCATTTGCCCTTATCTATTGCCTCATCTTGACAGAGTTTTTTTTACATTGTGAGGTAACCCAAGCCTTCATTTCTGAAGGGTCTGAATCTTTTGTGATTTTACCTTTGGTACATTGCTTAATTTTCCGTTCATCTTTACTTGGATCTGGAAATATCCCTGAATTCCAGACATAGTCTCTCTTCTCTCCTTCCATAGCAGCAAACCAATTTCCCTCGGGTAACTGGGATCAATTATCCCAGCACACACAGTAACCCCTTTCTTTGTCTGTTGATTCAGTAGCATGAGGAGCGTGAAATGACCAGGTGGCAGTTTCAACTTCCATTCATTAGAACAATTATGTCTTCTTTTGAGAAGCAAAACCTCTAAATCAGCCTAAGTTAAAGGGACATACAGCAAAGGTCCTCGCATGGGTTAGTAGACAGTGCAGCCAGACAGACCACGTTCATGTCTCTCCTTTGATCCCTGGGTTCAGCTATGGGAGAAACTGTTGCTGGATCGAAGCTCACACGATATCCTGTTAGGGGAGCCCTCAGATATTAGGGGTGTAACTAACTTAAGCCATGCCATTATTCAGCAGCCAGATGCTTGTAGTTGCTGGGTGTGGGAGGAGAGCCATGCTTGGTACTCAGCAGGGACACTGTGCCTCGGTGGCGCCCTGCCAGTGCGTTCCTGCCGTTTTAGAAGTGGGTGAACCAAGTCCTGGCAAGTCAGTGCTAGCCACCAAGGTACTCAGAGGCCCTGGGCTCTGAACCTTTTCCAAGATATTTTAGAGGTCTTCCAGAATCAGTGGCTCTCTTTTCAGTTTCAGAGCATGAATGGTTTTGAGGCAGAAGTCACTGAAGGTGATTGCTTAGAGCCAGAAGGGCCAGGTGGGGTTGTCTCAGGTTATGAGCCCGTTCTGTGAGCCCAGTGTCCCTATGCAGAGACTGCCAGGAAGAGCGGGGGCCTGGCTGACCGTCCTGTTCCGGGACCCTGTTCAGCTGGAATGCAGTTTCTGTCTCTGCCAGGAAGAGCGGGGGCCTGGCTGACCGTCCTGTTCTGGGACCCTGTTCAGCTGGAATGCAGTTTCTGTCACTGCTGCCCTCTAGGAGGCTTTGGGGAAACCATCAATATCTTGAGATAGAGCCTCGTTCTGTCATCCAGGCTGGATTCCAGTGGTGCAATCTCAGTTCACTGCAACTTCTGCTTCCTGGGCTTAGGCAGTCCTCCCACCTCAGCCTCCTAAGTAGCTGGGACTACAGGTGCTCAC